TTAAAAGAAAAATAATCATAATTATTTTAAAATAGTAAAAAATGTTAATTCTGACTTTTTTCATTTATTCTATGCACAACTTCAAATCAGTAACTCACGGCTGATTCATAAATTACTTTAAACTATGAAGTCAAAAAACCCTTGCTATAAGGATATTTATAGGATGAGAGTGGGAAGACAATTTGTGTTTCCATACAACCTTTTGTTCTTGATGGTCTAATTATTTCTTCAGTAGTTAGAAAAGATATCACAAATTATTAGTCAGATAATGTATTTTGTAGCTGGTTGAAATATTAAAGATAATAGACTTTAATTTCCTCACATTTCCCAGTGAAATTATTAACTGGAAGCCTTTTTAATGTCTGAAGGTTGTGAAGACAGCGAGTATAAGAAACCTCACTACAGTCCTAACCATTAGATGGCCAGTTCAACTTTACAATTTCATCACTCTTCAGTTTCTTTATATACATATAAGGGAAGCCAGTCTCAAAAATATTTTAAATGCCTTAAAAATAAGTTCAGTTGTTTGGCCTCCATGATTAAGATAGAAGCAGAAATGTCCATAATATGTCAGAATCTATTAACATTCAGCAGATATTTGTGTGATGTTATTAGCTGCTCTTACTTGAAGATCAGTTCTTACTAGGGTAATTGTTGGTTTTTTACAGTAAAAACAACACCAAAGTGCTGGAATTTATTCTCTCCTGAATATTATATCTAAAATAAAATTTATAGGGAAGTAATATTTGAACATGAAGTCATATGAAAACATTAAATTGATGTCAGAATCATAATATCAATATTTAGAAAATGACTTTAGTATATTCCAGATAAGTAAAAATGACCATTAAGAGGTAAAGTATGTGTGAAATTTAAACAGAAATTCCTGGACATATCAACTGTAACTCACTTATAGGTTTGAGATAATGTTTCCTTTATTGATGGTCATAGTTTATACTGTTTGGAACAATCCAAATAACAGAAAAAAATGTAGCTTAATTCACACACCCATTTGATGCTTATTTTATTCCAATGTGACTCAGAGGGATGTATTTACTAGATAATGGAACCATAAAACTTTCCTGAAAAGGATATCATTGGGGTTTCTACCAAATATCAAAAATGAAAGGACACATATTGCCCTTTTTATTTCTCATTTTCCAATCACTAAAATATAACAAAAATATTTACAGTAGCCTATTTCACAGGAATTCTGCAAGAATCCAACATGATAGCACGTACAAAACTTATTGGAAAAGTTCAAAGATTGAACTAATTTGAGTTATCATTTCTTTCTAGACAGAATTTTTTATTAGACATTTAAGAAGTATGGTCACAACATTTCTCTGAAATCTTATGACTGTGTCTGGAAATTTCAAAGAAAGATGAAATGGTGAGATTTATGTCAGATCAGAGAAATTTCTATATAAATCTTGAACAACCATGTAGCAAAATTTTAAGCTCCATAACTATATGACATTTCATTTCTTTTACTAATCTATACCTCTTCGAGAAAGTGAATATTAAAAACTACTCTAAATTTTATGTAATTGATAGGTATTTCAGTAAATGTTTTTGAAATAACCAGTTTTCTATTAAAAAATACTCTGTTGGAGAAAGTAAATGAATCAACAAAATAATAGCTTTTGAAAACTGACCAATATAGAATACATACCATTAAAATTACATTTAGATATTTTGGACTGAGTTTACTTTCCAGGGTAAATTTTATTTTTGCATTTCACTCTTTAATATTATATGCAAAAATATATCAAAAGCAAAGCTACTATAACACAATGTCTTTCAGTTATAAAACTTACAATAAGGATATCAAAGTATTTTGGCAGATCACAGACATTTTCCTATGCGGTTGGGAACACATATTTTGTTATTTTTTACATTGGTGATTTGCTAAATATTCATTGAAAGTTTATATTTACAGTAATCTGGGTTTAATTCTGAATTCTCTGTGTACTGGCTGTGACATTGTGCCATTTACTTAAATTCTCTGAGCCTTAATTTCTAAAAATAATGAAGAGGGCCAGGGAGATGACTCAGTGGGTAAAGGTGCTTGCCACCAACCCTAGCAACTCAAGTTCTATCCCTAGAATCCACATGTTGGGAGAAATGATTCCTGCAAGTTGCCTCACACACACACACACACACACACACACACACACACAATCTAAAAATAATTAAAAGATGGTAAATTATGTTTAACAGGGTAAACCTCAGAATTTGTAGGTAAGAGTTATAACTGAAATTCATTTAATACACCTGGCATGCAGGAAGCATTTACTATGAGGGACCTATTATTGCCACATGGATCCCGTTTCCATTATCCTCGCCACAAACAGTGTTGCCTGGTGCATAGTCACCTAAAATTGCTTAGCTGTAAGGCATACATTCATAAATGCTGAAGCCATGTATAGTTTAGTTAGAAATGGTTTAGTAATAGGCCTTTCTTTGAGAATGGAAAGGCTTGCTATATGCTTATAAGTGTTAGGATATACAATCATCTGTCTACTAGGGCACAGAGCTAGCTTCCTGGACACCCCTCCTTTATAATGACGATTGCTCATGGACAGGGCTCAGGAAAATAAGATTAGTATCAAAGCTTTAATAACTCTTTAAAAAGGTCACTATTTTTAGGAAAGATGCTCTAAGTGGGACTTCAACCAATATGAGATGCAGGATGATTTAATTGCATGTCCAACAACATACCAGAACCATGAAATGCGCCTGTTTCATTTGCAAGTGCACTGTTAAAGTCTAGTTGGAACCCTCTGTGAAGAAATTAGCAGTTATAGTTCCTGTTTGCTATTTATGCACAGGGCGCATTAATTTCGATTTAAGGAGCCTCGTTTCTGCTAGAAGCCTCTACTGCCAGCCTATAATTGGATAATGTGCTTCCTGCTTAACAGCAGCAAAAGTTGTTTCCCTCTCCTGAAGTGTATTGATCAAGTTTTTGCACCTTCAGCTCTCACCCTTCACCAGCTGAGGGAGCACCAGACCTCTTCATGGGAGGCTGCAGCAGCCCCTCCCCCAGGGTTCTCTCCTGGGGCATCTATGCTTTGGGTAGCACAGTCCTATTTACGTGGATTCACATACACACCCAGGTTTTCTGTTTTCCAAGAAGTTTTTTCACAGAGCTAATATATTAATGAGACATTTTAAAGAGAAAAGTTTACTTGGCATATATAAGGCAAGCAAGCAAGCAAATTCCCTATTGTGCAGGTTTTAGGCATTTTATTATGCAAATGGAGAAGTTTTCTAAAATACATGTGAATATTGCATTGCAAGATCTCTCTCTCTCAACACACACACACACACACACACACACACACACACACACACACAGAGTACACACCAAGGGGGTTGCCATATGTTCCAAGTGAGAGCTACTTGGAGGAGACATGCTGAATATGTCACAGTATTATTGTGAGAGGACAGGGACAGTCATCAGTTGCCTCTCTGGCAATGAGAATTTTCTCACCCTCAAGACATGCAAATGACTTTTTTTCATCTGTTCTTTTTATGTTATTTGCATAATTTTCTCCTGCAAAAGTGAGAGCTGTCAAAAATTAAACATTGGGGGCTTCAGCACTCAGTTGTGTGACCTTTTCCAGAACATTAGAACTCTTCAGGGAACTAGGAACTTTGGCTGTGAGAGAGTGGAGGATACTGAGAAGTGGGTCAGTTGCAGAAGAGTAGATGATGGATGAGGACCTGCAGGTAGGTAAAGGCGTGTGCCTGCATTTAAATACTTGTTTGATATTTCATGTCCCCTAAGATCCTTGTGGATGTTTCTTTTAATCCATCAGCATTTTTAGCAGATAACAGAAGAGATGTGTCTGCTAGGGATGTTGTTTCTTCTGGGTTACTCTGGGTAACAACAGAGTGTAAATCTCTTTGTAAAGGTGATGCTAATCTAAAACACTATCTGAAAAACTACAGGAACAATGCTCTATTTTGTGTGCTGGTTTGTGTGCTTGTGTCTATAAGAAAATGAAAACTGCCAAATATGCTTATTTAGTAGGAATCTGTACTTATTTTCAAGTCAGAGAGTTGCCCTCTGGAGGGCTGTAATAAACCTTTAAAGTCATTTTACTTAGACAAAGGTTGATATATGTAACAGGCTGGGGGCAAGGCAAGTGCAGCGATCTTTTATCGGATTGTATTACACATGTTTGTTTAGCTTTGGACTCGGCTTACAAGCCCGATCAGTCTAGTAATTGTCTCACTGTACCTTACATCAACCAGAAATACATCTCGGAAAAACGACTGGAGAAAGCAGAATTGTTGAAGTCCTGTGTTGGCTAACAAGGTGGCTAATCCTCTTGCAAATTACATTCACAATTTCAGTTCATCCATTAAGCTGGGAAAGACCAGTTTCCTAAGTAGCCTGGGTTTCTTTTCTGATTCCCTGGAGACCCACCACCCCTCTGAGTGCGTTGCCTGCACGCAGGGAGCGTTGCCTGCTAATCAGGTCAATGAATACCGCCTGGCTCCAGAGACATGACAGGCGTCCATCACAGCAGTTAAGGAGCTTGCAAACAGTGCAGGCTCACGGAGAAACTCCCGTTACAAAACATCGCTCAGTCTTCATTTACTCACTGGGAATCTCCAAGGATTTCAGCTGATCTTTTTCTCCCTTTAGACAGCGAGGAGCTGAGCATAAACAGAGGAAGGGAGCACAGCACGCTGCCACTTGGAGGGTGTTGATTGAAAACTTCCATCTCCCCTCCCGTTCATGGTTGATTTGAGGAATTTCTCACGAGATCACTGAGAATCTATCAATTAAGGTAAGTGCTGCTGTGCCTGGCTGGATGCATCACACGGAATCTCTGCACCGAAAGTTCTAACTGCCTACACTGACATTCTGCACTGCAGTAAGTGGCTGGCTATGACAGGAAAAGGCTTAGTTTATAAGCAAGTGTCCTGAATGAGAGCTGGCATTTGGGGATAATGGCATTTCAGAGTCTTACCAAACCTGATCATTCTGCCTTTCACCAGTAGAAAATAAGAGGAAATGAGAAAAGAGGAACGCTTTCTTTTTTTACCTTTTTAATGATCTGTTTAGAGGACTCTGTAGTGCCAAGGTAACTTGATTTTGCTTGAAGTACTTCCTTGATGTCATAGATAAAAATCAGATTCTGAAAGCTTCAAAGTTTAATTGGGTGCAAAGAAAATTTGCAAATGAGAGCTGAGACTGGATGCAGCTGTGCACATTAATGTTGTAAGGACTAAGGACTAAATATCTGATGCTTTCCATAATAGTGTCCATTTAGAAACTGAAATTTAAATGTAGATTTAAGAAAACTTCAGGAAAATGAACCAGGAGTCATTAATATTCTATTGACATAATTTTTAGTTCTTATGCAAGATAGATGGAATTCTTTTATGAGGTAGATTTTGAAGAAAAAGGGAAAAATTAACTGCTTTCTGAAATGTTTATTTTTTAGGAAAGTAATTTCTTTCAGAAGTGATTAAGGTTATGTATTGAAATCTTGACTTTTTGATATTTTACATCTGAGGTTATTTTTATTATTAATTTGCAGTAAATTGAAGTTAGGTTTAGACATCACTTATAGTTGAGGGTAGTTTAAATAAACTAGTTTATCATATTTTTCTGTACCCATTTCTCTCTCATGTCTATGAAAATTATCCAGAGAGGTTACAGAAGAAACTCTTTCCAAAGTTAGATTTCATTATGTAAACTTTTTCCTATCCTCTTTAGTTTACACATGCAAATATAGCCTGACATTTTTATGCCATATTATGGTTAAATATATCAAAAAACAAAACAAAACAAATTATCCACTATAATTACATAGAACCTATTGATTAGTTCTCTAAGTATGGGAAAAATGCTACTTTCCCTGCTATCGTGTGGGTCCCTATCTATAAAGCCATTTTCAAATAATTAAACACACACTATTTAAAATGTGAACACATGTTGTTTAAATATTTATTTATACTGCTCTTCAGTAAGTACTCTGTAATGTTGAAGCACAGAGCAAATATGTAGCTGCTTTTGTATATATTATTTATCATAGTGTTCTAAGTGTGTTTTTAAAGTGAGCACTTGTATTTCCTGAAGTGTTGACTCCACTTTCTCCCTTAGGTATCTTGAGATGAGAGGTTTTATAAAGATGTCAGAACACTGTTTATATTAATTGGCTATCCTGCAATTCTCAGGAGAGCTTTTCAGGCCAGTGCTGATGTTACTTCTTCCTACACAAGGATAAAATGTTTGCGAGACTCCTTTAGGCTGGTGTCCTTGTGTATTTGGTGGTTGTCTGTGTTTTCAGCCAATGCCTAAAGGCATTTACCACTGCTGTTTTACTAAGCCTTCTATCTCTTTGTTGGGATGGAGGATCTCAAAAGCTTTAATGATAACTACAGGATGATTGTGTTCAGTAGAGTGCCTACCACTCCGTCTGTCACTTTTTTTTTCCATTCTTTTAAGAAAACTAGGTAAACAGAAAGAAATAGCCAAAGAGAGGCATATTTAATATTAAAACATTTATTCATTGATGGAATCATCTCTTTATAATAGACTTCCTGAGAGCTAAGTTCTAATTGACGATAGCATCAGATCATATGAATTTTTGTTGGATGTTCTGATCAATGGAATATATGGTTATTGAACAGTACATTTAGTGTGTACTAAAATATTTGTTTATATATAAACATGAAAATGATTGTAGTCCATGCTCACATAGATGTTTCCAAGGACTTTTACCATTTTGGTTGTTATTACCCAAATTTACATTGTGCAAATGTTTGAGGGACTGGAGAAAGTCTTGTGAACAATTGAAAATAATAGCTTAGGCCCACAAGATGACTCAGTGGGCAAAGGAACTTGCCACTAATTCTGAACACCTGAGTTTGATCCCTGTAGCCCAAGTGGTGTAAGGAGAGAAAAGACTCCTACAAGTTGTCTTCTGACCTCTACATGTGTGCTATGGCATGTGTGTTTGTGCGTGGGATACAGGGGGTTTGATGCCCTCTTCTGGCCTCTGTGAGCATGTGCATGCATATGTTCAGGCACATATATACACAACTAAAGTAAAAAAATAAATAAATAAAATAAATGAATAAATCTTTAAAAACAACAGCCTGTACTAGATATAGCAAATAAGAGGTTCAATAGCAATTGGAAACATGATCAAGAAAATGTATATATATTTTGCATGTATGTATTTACACATAATCTATAATGCCAATAAGCAGAATTTTGAGTATCTTAGTTTTATTGATGGATAAATTATCAGCTTACCCTACTTTATGTAATAGGACAGGAAAATAATATGTGAATACTTTAATTGCAAAGGAATAATCTTAATCTATAAAGTGTTGTATTCCAAAAGAGCTTGTAATGGTATATGTTGGTAATAGGAAGCAGGCATAGGTACACTCATCAGGACTATGTGGCCAGTACCCACTGGCCTCTGCATGTTTGACTAGAAGTAAATATGAACAGGTCTCATGCCATTGCAAGACTGCCTAAGGACCACCTTGGCCTTATGTGAAAACCATGAGAAAATGATTCTCTCTGTGAGGTAATGAATATCAGATTTGGTGGGGTTAAATAGAAAATACTTTGTGGATCACCAGGATTTGATGGGCCTGAGCTGAACTTGGGAAGCATAGAGATGGTTGTATCTAGGAATTATATAAGGTGCAGGTATGAGATGGGTATGAAGCAAAGAAATTGCCTTACACTAATAGAAGTGATGGAATTGCCTGATTAGCCATAAAGTCTCAGCACAACAAGAAAAGGACTGCCTGGAGGTAGCCAGTGAATCTGTGCTAACCAAGGTTTACTCTAGACACCCCAAAAAGTAGTGAGATGTTTTTCCACTTTTACAACTGATACAGTTGTATCAGTCCAGTTAACCAATTGGAACTAAGCAAATCTATTTTCCTTACAAATTACAAGTTTATCATAGCCGTAATTTATTATATGCTTATAATTTTGGTAGCCAATGGATGGGGCAGCATTGAAGCACTGTGGGTACATATCCTGAATGTTACTGTCTGAGGTTAAGGCCAGGTGAGGTCACTTCATTGCTTTGGCCTTAGACAAGTTAGTTAAGGAAGCTAAACTCTGTTCTTGTGTTCTTTAAAATGATATAATCATGTTGCATGTCCCATAGCCCTTTTGTGACACATAAAGGGGATGATTGGTCAAACACACTTATATAATCTGTCACCTGCTTTGAAAATGATAGCATAAGCAGGAAACATTTCTATTTATCTCCCACTTGACTTAACAAGGACAAATTATTAGGGAAATTATATTCTTATGGCAAGTATAAAAAAGTGTGAGCATAATCTTCTGGATCATGTTCCTAATACTGTGTTTATACCAGGACCTGGCATGTTAGGAAAATACAGTTTATTTCAGTTCATAACTACTAGTGAGTGAATGTTTCATAAAAGAATGTAATCTAGGAGTCAATTTGGAGAAAGTTTCCTACTTTGGACAGAGGACTAAAGAAGCAATTGAATCCTTTACTTTGATTTATTCTCAGGAACACCGAAAGAACGTGAAATCCTTAAAAAGTGTAGTTCCTACAACAACTGTTGTAAAACAATTGACTTGATTTACAGGGTAATGAAATGTTTCCATGGTTTGCTTTTATAAATAGAGTTTTACTGGAATTCACACAGATACTTATTTCTGTATGATCAAGGCCAGAGTTCAGGAGTTGAACAGAGTCCCTTAGAGCCCACAGAGTGAACACTTCTTCAGTAGAGAAACATCCAGCTTCAGCAATTTTTTATTACCTAATATTCATTATAAATATTTGGTAGAAAAGTTTTAATATCTTAGAAAAAGCTATCATTAATTATTAAATAACTTTCTGTAACCTACTAACCCATTTGTATTTTTATATAAGATTTAAGTATTCTAATTATGGGGGCTAGAGAGATAGTTCAATGGTTAAGAGCACTGACTGTTCTTGCAGAGGACCCGGGTTCATTTCACAGTACCCACCTGGATGCCAACAACTGTTCATAACTCCAGTTCCAGAGGAATCTAAAGTTCATTCTTGACATCTGCAGGCATTGCATGACACAGGTACACTTACATGCATGCAGCAAATATTCATACACATAAAATAATATATATTTTAAAATACAAATAAAAAATAAATATTCTAATTGTAATTTCTGAGAATGATATTTATTAGATTTCATCTACTTAACTGCCTAAATAAAAATTTCAATCATGACAAAACATTTTCTACAGTGAAGTCCATTTTTCCATACACCAAGCCACATGATCTTATATATGGCACTATATATATTATGTATGTTGTGTTGACTGAAGGTTTTTAGACATTCTGAAAGACTGTTGACATTTTCTATGGGATCAATTCCCTATAGACACCTGATGAGTAGGATTTCCACATTCATCGGCCACACATCCTTCTATGGAGAAGGTTGGAAATCATATATCATGTCTTCATGCTGTAGAAAATGAATAGTCAAATTTCCTTTGCTCTGCTTTGCATGGGACTGCTAAATTCCCTGGCCCCAAAATGCTAATGTAGGTAACAAGGCTAGGAAGTCAACAACAGTCTTTTGGAGATATATGTGTTCCCCATAGTGGTCAGAAGGAAGTAAAAGTCTGTTCCAGGAAATGCCATAGGATGCTAGTTATTATCCAGCATTCCTGGGCCAAGAAAGGATCAGGGATAAGCAAAAAGCTCTTCTTATCTCTGAAAGAATATAAGAAATTTTGAGCCAGAAAAAATAGGGGAAGGATAGATAGATAGATAGATAGATA